TGACTTCTTGCTGTGTATGGGCAAGAAAGGTGCCAAGAGCTGACATGTTGTCTTACTGTTGCTTCCTAGTCACAGATGATCAGATTGTGGAGGATGGCAGCTGAGAGGGCATGGGGCTAGCTGTAAATGGAAGCTCTCTGTTGTTCTTAGGCACCTCCTCCCCAGACACTTGGGACAGCCTGGCTTTTATAATCTTAGCCCTAACTTCGTAGTAGATGATAGCCACTTACAAAATGAAAACTTGGAGGTAAAGTTTTCTTTCGTTAGTGTTTAATATCAATTTACTTGTTTAAGCAGTAGAATTTAAACATTTTTGTAGGACTGGGGATGTACTCACCTAGTAGAGTGTTTGCCTGGCATGCATGGATCTAGGGTTCTAACCCCAGTGCATCCAGTGGTGGTAGTTCATATATGATCCAAGGAAGATCAGGGGTTCAGGGTCATCCTCAGCTGTACATAGCCAAGGCTATGTGACGATCTACCTCAAAAAAAGAAGTGTTGGTTTTTGTTGTTGTGACTGTTTTAATATTGCAAGTCAAGTTTCCTTCACTTAGAGCATGCTGAGTTGTTTAATTTAGTCTAGAAATTACTGTTTTAAAAGGAGACCAATTTCTTGGCCACTGGCCTTTTCTATTCAAAACTATAAATCTGTGCTATTTAACTGCACACACATAATGAGTTTATTAAAGCTGGTCCCTTCCCATTGTCAGGTAGAAGGTTTAATCTTTTTATACTTATGGGATCCATAAGTATCCTGAAAAGGGCTCAAAGGAAGTAGAAACCTGGAAGAAAGGACTACCCTGGACATGTACAGTAGTACATGGGCCTGCTAGGCAGTGTGAGGACCCTGGGTGACATTTAAGGGATTCTGTCCCTATAATACAGCAGTTCAGCAGAATAATACTAAATATTATACTTTAAATTTGCCAGTCATTGGAATTCTTATATTTATTTGTAGCTGTTTAAACAGGGTTTTGCTTTGTTTACACAAAACGGAGAAACTTGTAGAGGAACAAACCTGTCTTGATTAGCATTCATGCCCAGTTAAAAGCCTCAGTGTATATATCTGTGCATTTGAAGAGAGAATCAAACACACACGTCACACGTGCCACACACCCTCACACGCTTTTCTCTTAGGAGGAAATGAAGAACGTACAGTGAGGGAAGAGGAGGGCATCAGTAAGCATTAGCAACGAGGTTGGAGGGGAGGTGTCTAAGCTGCTTAAACTCAAATAGGAAAGAAAGTGTTCCCTTCAGTCATGGTGGATGTCTGGATTGGAATTGAGAATAGAAAGATGATGTGTATAGGTAGAAAAGAAGGTAGACGTGATATCCAGAGCTTTGTCTCTCCTTTCTGTTTTCCCATCTACACAGTCACACCCAAGTATGACAGTCGAGATAAATTCAGACCTGCTCTGTATTGGTAATAACTGGCTGTTGTCTCGTATAAACATAAGGATAAAGTTGAAAATTGGTGCATCTCTCTCTCTCTCTCTCTCTCTCTCTCTCTCTCTCTCTCTCTCTCTCTCTCTCTCTCTCTCTCGTGTGTGGGTGTGCGTGTGTGTTTCGGGGGTTGGGTAAGTGAATGGCCACAGGAGTTAGAGGGCAAGAACCTGGAGTAGACATGATGTAATTCATGAATCAGGGATATTATGTTGTTAAAAGAGACTAACTGTGAATAAGGCATATTTTTGTGCTGAAAATATGTTAAGAGACAAATTGTTCAGGTGAAGTGGCTATGGGACTTATTTCATGAATTTAAAAATATTGGAAAGTAGTATTTTACAGGTCATTTAATCAGGCAGTATCAAGATCTGCTGTTTATATGACTTGATTTTTGTGATGTATAGCAGAATATAAATGCCTGTTGCTGCATTTTTGGGCTTGACTAGAGAAAAGGGATACATCCATTTGTTTTGTAATTGATCACCTAGCCCACCACTAATATAATCTGTTCTTCCTAATGTTCATTCTACTCTGTAACTGCCTACAGAGACCAATCCTTTTCCAGAAATATCCTTGTTTCTTTAAGACTCTCTATGCTTTACATAACTAAATAGCTAGTGATTGAAACCAGAATTAGAACTTTTGTTTATTTTTTACATAGGATTGTACTATGCAGCTTTTGCTGGCCTGGTGCTTTCTCTGTAGTCCAGGCCAACCTAGAACTCAGAAATCTGCCTGTTTCTGCCTCTGGAGTGCTGGGACTAAAGGTGTGCACCATCATGCCCAGTGAAACTTAGTACTTGGTTAGATTCTACTAATTTGACCTGGTTTTTCTGTGAGTTTGAAGATACGGCTCTATTGTGATTAGTCGTGAACTCAGGACATTCTCATTTCTGAACTCACTGAAAAAGATTAATGTCGTTCTCAAGCAATAAGAATATACCCTATAGAACAGACCTTTGGAAATTATCTAATGCAAGGTAGCTTAGTTGTCTAGACTCATGCAGCTATATTCCAACTGGGCCACACCCTTTCTTATGAGGAGATGCTATTGGACAGAATTCCCTCTAGCATTTGCTTAGACATTGCTTTTCAATCTTTGGGTTACAACCCCAATCAGATACCCTGTATATCAGATGTTTACATTTATATTTATAACAGTAGCAAAATTACAATTTTGAAGTAACAGTGAAATAACTTTATGGTTGGGGGTCACCACAGCACGAGGAACTGTATTTTAGGGTCATAGCATTAGGATGGTTGAGAACCACTGGCTTAAGACAATGTGTATGCTTGCTCGAGCTGCCGTAGTAAAGTATCAGACTGGTTGCTTGAGCAACAAAAATTTTATTCACTTAGTTTCAGAGACTAGATCAAGTTTTAGCAGAGATTGGTTTTAGTGAAGACTTTCTTTGTGGCTTATATATGGTGTGGGGATGTGTATTTAGTCAGTCAGGAATCTCATCTAATTAGCATACTTATCTTGTCCTGAAGCCTCACCTTCATAACTTTCAGCAAACCCTGACTGTATCCCAAAGACCCAGAATTAAGACCTCTGTGTATGAACTTAAGGGAAAACATAAATATTTACTCTTTAACAATATACCTTTTTCTTTGTGAAATTTGGGAAAAATTAATTAAAGTTGCAGAATTGTATTCCACTAGAATATGTCCTAGTGTTTTAAGTTCTAAGAATTACTAGATTATCAGATGGGAGGTGTAAATATAGTTCATATACTCCTGTAGAAACTTTAAGATGTTAGTTACCTCTATTGTAACCACATACCTGAAGACTATGAAAAGTATTATTCTGTTCAGCAGTTTAGTTGAATCTTGTAATTCTACAGTTTAGACTAAATTTCTAGGGCTAGAGAGATGGCTCAGTGGTTAAGAACACTGACTGCTCTTCTAGAAGATCTGGGTTCAATTTCTAGCACCCACCCCGTGACTCATAACCACCTGCTACTCCAGTACCAAGGATCCAAGGCCTTCTTCTAGCCTTTTCAGGCACCAGACATACATGTGGTGCACAGATAAACATGGAGATAAAGCACCCATATATATAAAATGAAATTTAAAAATTAATAAGTAAGAAGACTAAGTTTCTGGAAATACACTGTTGAAATTGCATCCCCATGTGGTAATTCCAAGTAAAATTGCAACAGGTATTCCAGTGGCTATTCTGATAGGCTTGATGCATTTTATCGGACCCATTGAACTTTTACTAGCTTCCTAAATGCCAGTCATGTGAAGAGAGCGGTCAACCTCTTCTGAATTCTAGAGCTAAAATGTAAGCTTTATCATAGTTTTTACCTATCTAAAGGGCTAGTTTCTTCTACCTTATTAAGACAGCCAGGGTAGGTGTACTCAAAATGTATTGTTCCAAAGCTTTTAAATTCATTTCCTGGTCGTACAGCAAGTCTCTGTAAAAAGTAGTGGTTGAATTACATTGAAAATCAACAAGTGTTCCAGGTGTAGTCAGAATCACATGGAGTTTAAACATATTTAGATTCTTTTTTTTTTTTTTTAAATTGTATGGCATTTGGTGGTGGCAGGGGGTTGGGTGGGCTGGTGTAAGTCAGAAACAGCATGTGACAGTCCTCAGGATAAAAGCCCTGGATTTAGTTTTTTGATCTTTGAAGATTTATTTTTGTTCACATGAATTTATATTTAGATTAAGGATACTCTATCTCTGATTGTCTGTCTGTCTGTCTGCCTGCCTGCTTGTCTGTCTCCCCTCTCCTCCTCTCTCCCTATAAGTATCTCTGACTAGAGTCAAATTTGTAATCTTCGTTGCCGTAGTCTCCCATGTGCTAGAATTATAGGTGTGCATCATCACTTCCTGTTCAAAGATACTACTGATGCTAAGAGACAAGAAACACTGACAAAGGCAGAAGAGGAGAGAATGTTTGCTTGATATACTCTGGTATCTTTGAATTTTTTTTTAATCTGTTTGAAGATATGAAGATGCATGTATCGGCATATACTGAATACTTTTGAAGTACGTCTTTAGGCGTTGGCTTCATCTGCTCGCTAACTGAGGATCTGCCGTTGTTCACAACGCTCAGCTGTGTCTTTAAGATTATAGGAGTTTATCCAAAGAGTGTATTGATTGGTATTCCAGAGTTTATTAGGTTGTAGCTACTCCTTTTCTCTCCCTTACTGATTATTAAAAAATACCTTCATTTGCTCTGTGCTAGTAAATTTGTTCCCCTTAAATTAAAATTGGGGAACCCGTTATATGTGATGGGTCAGCTTTCTATTGCCTTGAAGTCAGTCACTCATTGTAGACATTATCAAAATAGGTTCCTCAGAGTACAGAACAATTTGAGCATTCATGTACAGCTCTTAGGTAGAGGATAGGTGCCGCAGTAGGCTTTGCTCGTGTCTGTCTCTGAGGCGCTGAGAGAGCACCCTGGTCTTCTAATTAACTCAGTGGTACACTTTGTCATACACTATTGTTCTTGTCACTGTGAAAATGGATCCATGGATAAAGTATCCTTTTATATCATAAATAAACAGAGCTTGTTATAGTTTCCTCTCTTCATCTTCAGGAAGAAGCTGAAATCCAGGCAGAACTGGAGCGTTTGGAAAGGGTCAGGAATCTTCATATCCGAGAGCTGAAGAGAATCAACAACGAGGATAATTCACAGTAAGTTGTACAGTCACATGTGATGGAAGGCCCGAGGGAGAACACACACAGAAAACTTCCAGAGTATACCAGCTTGGATGCCTGTGTGATCTGCCCCACACATACCCCTTGTACCTCTCTGTCCCATCTCTTATTCCCCCACCTGAAATACTCTTCTTCTGGATATCTGAAGTGGCTTTCTCTTTATTTCACACCAAATGCTCACCATCCAGATGACCGGTCTGAGAGCCATCTGTGCTTCACCTCATTTCCCCTTTCATTATCCTTTTCTTTAATTTTCCATAGTAATTAGTACTATCTGGGGTTACAGTTTACTTTTTAGTTATTTCTTTTGTCTCCTCCCCCTAACCTGTAAGCTTTTTGAGCAAAATACATACCAGTAAAATTGTACTAATGTGGTGTATTTACACCTGATATCTTAAAGCCATTGCTGTCAGAGTATAAATTTTGGAAACTTTTTCTACACAGCCTTTCCGTGTGTTACTGTTAAACGTGTACAGATGGTCTACTCAGTCTGGCCCTTTCTGTTAGCCGCAGAACCCTTCTCTGTAAGAGACACAATGGCAGGATTGGTTTCATAGGATTGGGTGAAAACTAAAATAAAAACTTGGGTAAATCTTAATGTATAGCTGGTATGATACACATCAATTAGTCATGAGAGCATGTATTACTTAATGTATGGCAGGTAATAAACATTAACTAATAATGGCAGTATTACTTGAGAGTGATTTTTATAGGTTTTTTTTGTTCTAATTTTTACTTTCAAAATTGATGAATAGAAGGCTAAAGACACTAAGATATAACCATTAACAAAGACCAGTTGAGACTTTTTTTTTCAAATATAAGTCAGTACTATAAAATCTTGATCGCCTATAACTCATTATAAAAATTTTTTTGTGATAGAAGTGTTTATGAGGAATAATGGTTTCCTATCAAGCATAATTGGTGGTTTTTGGAATATTGTTAGAGGCTAGCTATTATAGTTAACAGTTTGTAAGTGCTAAAGCGTAACACCGGCGATATAGTATGTAGAAACACAGAGAATAGAAGTAGCTGCTGGCTGGTATTTGAAGTTAACAGCAGAGAAAGTGAAGCTGACATAGCTAGGAGTAGTCAAGAGTGGGCATTAATGTACTCAGAACTCCTTGTATTCTTTTAATGTGCCTCAATAGTTTTTTCCCCTGCTCTTTTAAGGTTCAAAGATCATCCAACGTTAAATGAAAGATATTTATTACTTCATCTGCTTGGAAGAGGTGGCTTTAGTGAGGTGTATAAGGTAGTGTTTTCTGTTCTTTGTGCTGATGTGGGGGGTGTGGTTAAGAAATACTTGGCTTTTGGTTTCTGGTTTTAGATGGGCTTTTATACTCAGTCTCATTACAAAGAAGAGCTTATTGCGGGTTTTGTTTTTCACATCCCTGGGGTCTAAGCTCTGTTACTGACCTGCACAGTTCTCTCTGCTATTCAGCTGTCTCTAAGACTGAGGCAGACCCTTGCACTAAGTCTTGATGTTCTCAACTGCTCAGTTCCTCTGCTGTGCTGGTCTTTAAGTTGCTTCACTCTTTGTTCTGTTTTGCCTCTCTTGCTGTGATAGAAAACCTTGACCAAAACAAGTTGGGGAGATAACAGTTAATTCATCTTAAGAGTTTACAGTCCTACACTAAGGGAAACCAGAGCAGGCACTCAAGGCAGATGCTGGAAGCAAGAGCTATGGAGGAGCACTGCTTACTGGCTTGGTTCCTCTGGTTTGTGTATATGTTTTACACAGTCCAGCTTCACATGCTCAGGGGTGCCATGGATCCTGGCCAGTCTGATCAAGTCAGTCTCCCAATGCAGAGTCCCTCAGATAACTGTGGGCTATGGTCAATTGATTAAGCTAAGTGGTTTGGTTTTGTTTAGTTTTCTGCTTAAGCTAAGAAGGCTGTAGAAATCTTCTTGTAACAAATGTGTAAGTTATTAAGTGCTTTTTAAAGGGGCATCTTTGCATTTAAGTCACCATGAAACTTAAACTATATTGTTTAGAAGCATTTGGTGTTTAAAACATTTATGGGGGGGGAGTGTCATAGTAAAGGCACTTACTGCTCTCTCAAAGGACCTGAGTTCAGTTTCAAACACCTTTCGAAGGCTCCCATCTGCCTGCAACTAACTCCAGCTCAGGGTGCATCTGGCCTCTGTAGACATCTGCATTCGTGTACATATAAATAAAATTTTAATAATTATATATTCATAGTTCAGGTCACAGGGAAGTCACCTAAAATAAAATACAAATTAAAACACTTGCAAATTATGTGAAACTTAAAGTACTGATTGTATTCTTGTTCTTTATGAAGTGGGCTGGAAATTAAGCAATTTTCTTGAGGAGGGAGACAATTGATAAAATTGAATATAAATCATATACCAGACTAGATTAGGAAATATTGATGTGCTTAGGTATGGTGATATGGGGTTTTTTTTAAAGGCCTTATCTCTTAGATAAATACTGAAGAATTACTAAGACTTATTTTTTAAACATTATAGGAGGGATAAGTCAGGTAGTATTTAATGGTAGAACACTTCCTTAACCTGAACAACACCCTGGGTTTAGGTTCATATTCTGTCTTACCCTAAAGGAATAGTGACATGGTAGAAGGAATAAATTAAATTTTTTAACTGGATCGTGTATGCATAAACATTCATTATGCTACTTCTCAAGTATAGATTAAATAATTTCATAATAAAAGAAGTTTTTTTCAGTAATTGAAAAATTATTAAAAACCTATTAATTAAGGCTGGAAAGTGAGCTCAGTAGTTGAGAGTGGTGGTTGTTCTTTCCGTGAAAGATGTTGAATTCCCAACACCCACATGGGCAGCTCACAGCCATCTGTAACTTCTCTTTCAGAGGATCTAATGCTCTCTTCTGGCCTCTGCAGGCACTATATGGACTTGTGTACAGATAACAGAGGCAAAACACCCATACCCATAAAATAAAAATAACTTTAAAAATAAAAGAACCTATTATTTTTTTTTAAAAAAAGTAAAAAACAGGTAGTTGATAATAAAAATAATTTAAAAAATTTTTAAAAATAAAATAAAAACTTAGTTTTCTCCAACACACAGAAAAGCATCATAGCTGTTTGTGTTGCTAGTTGCTCCCTACAAAAGTGCACATGTAAAGGAATGGGTCGATATTTAAAAGAATGCTAGCTTCATTTTTTATCGTGATTCAAAATATTAGCACTTAACAAAATTGAATGTGAAAGTTTATGTTGAGTCTTTAGTTTTTATTGCCATGACATTTCTATCTTCTTTAAGTAGAGATGATCACTGGTTGTTTCAAAAAATTATCACCAAAATTAAAGTCTGTTTAGGTGTTTGATTGGTATGTGGTGTGATTGTTTTCTGCCTTGAATTGTAGGCTTTTGACTTGTATGAGCAAAGATATGCTGCTGTGAAGATCCACCAGCTTAATAAAAGCTGGAGAGATGAGAAAAAAGAAAACTACCACAAACATGCTTGTAGAGAGTATCGAATACACAAAGAACTGGATCACCCCAGAATAGTTAAACTCTATGATTACTTCTCCTTGGATACAGATACGTAAGTAAACAAAATGTGATCCATAAGGAAACTGGTTTTGTTTCTGATCCTGCTGTGATGGTGCAGATGTTCTCACCTCTCTGTTAGCATTCTTAGTCACTGGATAATGATTCTTCCCTTTCCCAGTGTACTTTTTGTGTTGATCGTTTCTTCTTGGTGTAGGTTTTGTACAGTGCTAGAGTACTGTGAAGGCAATGACTTGGACTTCTACCTGAAGCAGCACAAGTTGATGTCTGAGAAAGAAGCTCGGTCTATTGTGATGCAGATTGTGAATGCCTTAAGATATCTCAATGAAATCAAACCTCCTATTATACATTATGACCTTAAGCCAGGTATTTCAGGAAATGTGTCTTACAAGGTTGGGATTTTTTGGGGGGAAGGGGTAGTGTGGAAGGTGGAGGTTATGTTTGCATTTTTGCTTGTATTTTATAACAGGGTTTCACTATGTAGCCTAGGCAGATGAACTCAGAGAGAGCCACCTTCCTGTGCTTCTTGAGTGTTGAAATTAAAGGCATATATCACCATAATCAGTCCCCAAATATATATTTATTTACCAGACATTACTCTTAGTTGTAAAAATTATGCTTTCATTCATATATATGGAGTGTGTGTGTGTGTGTGTGTGTGTGTGTGCACATTACTAAAAAAATTGTACTTTGTTTTTTTAGGAAATATCCTTCTGGTAGATGGAACGGCATGTGGAGAAATCAAAATCACTGATTTTGGTCTGTCCAAGATTATGGATGATGATAGTTACGGTGTTGATGGGATGGATCTGACTTCCCAAGGGGCAGGCACTTACTGGTAAATGTATTAGTAAACATACCAAGACAACTTAAATTAGTCCCCCATGTTTTATGAATGTTTGGTTTTATTTTCAATGCTCTTTGAGATTGCTGTGTTGGAGGCACTGATACTAAGTCTTGGAATTGAGAGGGAGAGTCTTGTGGCTAGTATTCTCTTCTACATTCTTTCTTTCTTTTTTGGTTTTTCGAGTCAGGGTTTCTCTGTGTAGTCCTGGCTGTCCTGGAACTCACTTTGTAGACCAGGCTGGCCTCGAACTCAGAAATCCGCCTGCCTCTGCCTCCCAAGTGCTGGGATTAAAGGCGTGCGCCACCACCACCCAGCTTTTTTTTTTCTTTTTTTATTGTATATTTTATTTGTTTGCATTTCAGATGTTATCCTATCCCCCCCTCCATAAACTCCTTATCCATCCCTCCTCCTCCTCTTTGCTTTTATACCATTTTCATTTCATGCAAGTATTAAAGTCAGTTCTAGGTTGAGGAACTAGCAATAAAATAGATGCAAATAGTCAAGGAACGAGCAAGACAATAAACACCGATAGTCAAAGAACAAGCAAGGCAGTAAACAGAGTCCTGTTATCACTATTTCTAAGGGCTTATCAGAATGACCAAAATATCTAAGTCTATGTCCCTGTCCGAACCCAAAGTCATTTTCATGCCTGAAGCTTACTTCTTTGTTCTAGCCTAAGATTTAGATTCCTGTCTGTGCTTGCTTCTTTGTTCTAGCCTAAGATTTAGATTCCTGCCTGAAATTACTTCTTTTTTTCTAGCCTAATGTCGGATTCCTGCCTGCAGCCCATTTCGTTTTCCTTGGCCAATATCAGATTCCTGCCAGGCAGCCCTAAAAGCTCTCCACATCTCCCTCCTTTTTATTGTATAAACAAGGCTGAGCCTGTCTTAGGTCTTCTGACAAGAATGCCTTCTTTACCTGTCATAGAAAATGCATTATCAAAAGCAATGCACTTCGGTCTTAGGTTGGTAAGGCTCTATGCAGAATCTTACCTGTTGGTCTGGGGGTCCGTTTTCAGTTTCAAGTCATGTACTTTAGCTGCCAACATGTTGATGTTGTTAAAGACAAGCTTTAACACAATGGGCAGTAATGAAATTATTCCCAGGACAAAAAGGGCTAGCATGATCAATCTATATATGCCATTCTTGAAGCTTGACCAAAACGGAAATACTGACCTCAAGCCATGGATAATTTTATCAGCATTATCTGCAGCATCAAAGCTCAGCAGAGCAGCATTATTTAAATTCATAAGCTCACTATGCAAAGTTAAAACATCCAGAGAGGTGTTAGAATTATGCCAAATACCCTACAAATGTAAACTTTTTTCTAATTATAATGACTGTCATTGTAAATTTTAGAAGTAACACAACTCCATTAGTATTTGGCATGACAGTCAAGATGGCTTCTTACTCTTAAACTCTGAACCTCTTTCCAATAGTATGAATAGGATAAAGAACATCAATCTGTTGTTCCAAATGCCTATCTAAATCCTCTTGAATACTCAACACATTAGTAACATTTTTTGCTAAATGACTAACAAAAGCAACTGTCTTAACTTCTTGTATCAAAGCAATTGCAGAATCAATGGTGCTAGCAATTAATGTATTTAAAGCTGTTATACCAGCAATGATCAAGCCCACTACCCTCTTGCTTTTGCTTAAAGCCTAACTCACTTCTCCGAGTACTTGCAAACTTTTTTTCAGAGAACCAAGGTTCTGTAATACTCAGGGCAGTAAGACAAAAGCTATTTGATAGAACTCCATAGCAGACATGCCAGGTTTCAACACACTAACACAATTAGAAAGTATACAATCAATGCAACTTATTATAAATACTGTAGAAGAGACAAAAGTAATTTTAACTTAAGCCTTATGACATGCACTAACACTTGAAATCTAGAACCTATCCCAACTTTATCTCTTGCTAACATACCATCATAGAGAACTGCAGCTAGCTTCCAAATATGTCTCTGAAAATGTCCAGATCCAGCCTTCCAAATGAAGACTGTTATTTCCAATATTGGATTGATTTCTAGACCAATACATGATTGAGTCCAAATAACTGGTCACATGTAAGAACAATCAAGAGTCATTATAACTTCTCTTTTTGATTCTCTGTCCCACAAGGTCTAAAACTTGAGGCAAGACAGCTTGTTCCATCTGGGATATAGGAAAGCAAAGGTGATGGGTCAGGAATATATGTCCAATACAGCTTCCCAGTCACCATTGTCAGGGCACTCAGCAAGCTCACAGGTCAGCATCATTCTTTGTCTTAGCATCAGCATGTCTCACCAATTACTCTGGCAGCCATCAATGCTCCTTCAGCATCCTACAGAAAAAAACACAAACATACCCTCTTCCCCATATTAGATACCTGGTCAGGATCATGCCATATGCCAGTAAGTGGATTCTTATGCCTAGTTGAAAAGGGTGCCATCGACACTAAGCAGAAAGTTCCTTGGCATCCAAATTTTTTTTGAAAAAATTTAAAATAAAAAGAGCATGATTTAAATAAATATGTATTATATGGGGATATACCTCCCCGTTCTTTATTTTATGAAGATACTGTTTTAAAGTTCCGTGGGCCCCTTCCACAATACCGTCTCCTTGAAGATTATAAGGAATCCCCATAATAAATTGACAAAAATTTCAAATGCTCAACTACAATTGCCAGTTCCATTACCAATTTTTTTATGGGATATTTTTTATTTACTTTTCAGATGTTATCTCCTTTCCCCATCCCCCCCCCCGACCCCTTATCCCATCCCCCCTCCTATTTCTATGAGAATGTGCCCCACCCATCCACCCATTCCCGCCTCCCTGCTCTCGAATTCCAAGACACTGGGGCATCTAGCCTTCCAGGAACCAAGGCCCTCCACTCCTACTAATGCCTGACAAGTCCATCCTCAACTATCTATACAGCTGGAGCCATGGGTCCCTCCATGTATGTTCCCAGGCTGGCAGTTTAGACCCTGGGAGCTCTTGTTGGTTGGTACTGTCGCTCTCCCCATGGGCCTGCCATCCCCTTCAGCTCCTTCAGTCTTTCTAACTCCTCCATTGGGGACCCTGTGATCAGTTCAATGATTAGCTGCAAGCATCTGCCTCTGTATTTGTCATGTTTTGACAGAGCCTCTCAGGAGACAGCTGTATTAAGCTCAGTATGCACTTCCTGTCATCCACAACAGTATCTGCATTTGGTGACTGCACATGAGATGGATCCCCAGGTGGGGCAGTCTCCAGACAGTCCCTCCTCCAGTCTCTGCTCCACACTTTTTCTCTGTACTTGCTCCCATGAGGATTTTGTTACTCCTTCTAAGAAGGACCAAAGCACCCACACTTTGGTCTTCCTTCTTCTTGAGATTCATGTGGTCTGTGAGTTGTGTCTTACGTATTGTGAACTTTTGGGCTAATAACCACTTACAGTGAGTGCATACCATGTGTGATCTTTTATGAATGGGTTATCTCACTCAGGATGATATTTTTAATTCCATCCATTTACCTAAGAATTTCATGAATTCATTGTTTTTAATAGCTGAGTAGTACTCCATTGTGTAAATGTACCACATTTTCTGTATCCATTCCTCTGTTGAAGGGCATCTGGGTTCTTTCCAGCTCTGGCTATTATAGATAAGGCTGCTATGAACATAGTGGAGCATATGTCCTTATTATATGTTGGGAGAATCTTCTGGGTATATGCCCAGGAGTGGTATAGCTGGGTCCTCAGGTAATGCTATGTCCAATTTTCTGGGGAACCACCAGACTGATTTCCAGAGTGGTTGTACCAGCTTGCAATCCTACCAACAATGGAGGAGTGTGCCTCTTTCTCCACATCCTTGCCAGCATCTGCTATTACCTGCATTTTTGATCTTACCCTTCTGACTGGTGTGAGGTAGAATCTCAGGGTTGTTTTGATTTGCATTTCCCTGATGACTAAGGATGTTGAACATTTCTTTAGGTGCTTTTCGACCATTGAAGTTTCCTCAGTTGAGAATTCTTTGTTTAGATCTGTACTCCATTTTTCAATTGGGTTATTTGATTGTCTAGAGTCTAATTTCTTAAGTTCTTTGTATACATTGGATAATAGCCCTCTATCAGATGAAGGATTTGTAAAAATCTTTTATTGTTGAGAATAGTTTTTGCTATCCCGGGTTTTTTGTTATTCCAAATGAATTTGAGAATTACTCTTTCTAACTCTGTGAAGAATTGAGTTGGAATTTTGATGGGGATTGCATTGAATCTGTAGATTGCTTTCAGCAAAATGGCCATTTTTACTATATTAATCCTGCCAATCCATGAGTATGGGAGATCTTTCCATCTTCTGAGATTTTCTTCAATTTCTTTCTTCAGAGACTTGAAGTTCTTGTCATACAGATCTTTCACTTGCTTGGTTAGTGTCATAACAATGTGTTTTATATTATTTGTGACTTATTGTTAAGGGTGTCATTTCCCTAATTTCTTTCTCAGCCTGTTTATCCTTTGAGTAGAGGAAGGGTACTGATTTGTTTGAGTTGATTTTATATCCAGCCACTTTGCTGAAGTTGTTTATCAGGTTTAGGAAGTCTCTGGTGCAAGTTTTGGGGTCACTTAAGTATACTATCATATCATCTGCAAATAGTGATATTTTGACTTCTTCCTTTCCAATTTGTATCCCGTTGACCCTCATTTTGTTGTCTAGTTGCTCTGGCTAGGACTTCCAGTACTGTATTGAATAGGTAGGGGGAGAGTGGGCAGCCTTGTTTAGTCCCTGATTTTAGTGGTATTGCTTGACATTTCTCTCCATTTAGCTTGATGTTGGCTACTGGTTTGCTGTATATTGCTTTTACTATAGTTAGGTATGGGCCTTGAATTCCTGATCTTTCCAAAACTTTTACCATGAAAGGCTGTTGAATTTTGTCAAATGTTTTCTCAGCATCTAATGAGATGATCATGTGATTTTTTTTTCTTTGAGTTTGTTTATATAGTGGATTACGTTGATGGATTTCTGTATATTGAACCATCCCTGCATTTCTGGGATATTCCTTACTTGATCATGATGGATGATTGTTTTGATGTGTTCTTGGATTCAGTTTGTGAGAATTTTATTGAGTATTTTTGCTTCGATATTCATAAGGGAGATTGGTCTGAAGTTCTCTTTCTTTGTTGGGTCTTTGTGTGGTTTAGGTATGAGTGTAATTGTAGCTTCATAGAACGAATTGGGTAGTGTTCCTTCTGTTTCTATTTTGTGGAATAGTTTAAAGAGAATTGGTAGTCTTCTTTGAAGGTCTGATAGAACTCTGAACTAAAACCATGCTTTTTTTGGTGGGGCGACTTTTAATGACTGCTTCTATTTCTTTAGGGGTTATGGGACTGTTTTAGATGGTTTATCTGGTCTTGATTTTACTTTGGTACCTGGTATCTGTCTAGAAAATTGTCCATTTGATCCAGATTTTCCAGTTTTGCTGAGTATAGACCTTTGTAGTAGGATCTGATGATTTTTTAATTTCCTCAGTTTCTGTTGTTATGTCTCCCTTTTCAGTTCTAATTTTATTAATTTGGATACTGTCTCTGCCCTCCGATTAGTCTGGCTAAGGGTTTATCTATCTTGTTGATTTTCTCAAAGAACCAGCTCCTGGTTTTGTTGATGCTTTGTATAGTTCTTTTTGTTTCTACTTGGTTGATTTCAGCCCTGAGTTTATTTCCTGCCATCTACTCCTCTTGGGTGTATATGCTTTTTTTTGTTCTAGAGCTTTCAGGTGTGTTGTCAAGCTGCTAGTGTATGCTCTCTCCAGCTTCTTTTTGTAGGCACTTAGAGCTATGAGTTTTCCTCTTAGCACTGCTTTCATTGTGTCCCATAAGTTTTGGTATGATGTGCCTTCATTTTCATTAAATTCTAAAAAGTCTTTAATTTCTTTCTTTATTTCTTTCCTGACCAAGTTGTCATTGAGTAGAGCATTGTTCAGTTTCCACATTTATGTGGGCTTTCCATTATTTTTGTCATTATTAAAAAACAGCCTTAGTCTGTGGTGATCTGATAGGATGCATGGGATTATTTCAGTTGTTTTGTATCTTTTGAGACCTGTTTTGTGACCAGTTATATGGTCAGTTTTGGAGAAGGTACCATGAGGTGCTGAGAAGAAGGTATATTCTTTTGTTTTAGGATGAAATGTTCTGTAGAGATCTGTTAAATCCATTTGGTTCATAACTTCTCTTAGTTTCACTGTGTCTCGGTTTAGTTTCTGTTTCCATGATCTGTCCATTGCTGAGAGTGGGGTGTTGAAATCCGCCACTATTATTGTGTGTGGTGCAATGTGTGCTTTGAGCTTTAGTAAGGTTTCTTTTATGAATGTAGGTGCCCTTGCGTTTGGAGCATAGATGTTCAGAATTGAAAGTTCATCTTGGTTGATTTTTTTCCTTTGATGAGTATTAAGTGTCCTTCCTTATCTTTTTTTTTTTTTTTTGATAGCTTTAAGTTGAAAGTCGATTTTATTCGGTATTAGAATGGCTACCCCATCTTGTTTCTTGGGACCATTTGCTTGGAAAAGTGTTTTTCAGCCTTTTACTCTTGAGTTAGTGTCTGTCTTTGTCACTGAGGTGTGTTTCCTCTTTAAGTGCTTCTACCTGTTTACCTGTATTCTCCTGTATTTCTTTGAGGGAGTTATTTATGTCCTTCTTAAAGTCTCTTCTACATTTTTAAGTGCAAAGATCGAAAATTGCAAAAATAATGGCTTGGCTTCTGCATATGACTTTAATACGCAGGAACTTCAGTGTGAGTCAGAGTTCATAAGTTTTCTTCTAGAGTATTAAGTGATGTTTAGGGTCTAAATAAGAACTTTTGCTGATGTAATATCCTGACTGTTTAAAGTAAGAAAGCAAAGGTGTGTGTGTGTGTGTGTGTGTGTGTGTGCATGTGTATAGAGAGGGGGGAGGGGAGTTTGTTAATTGTAGATTATAGATAAACTCAGCATATTCGTAGTCCTTATACCTGACTTAAAAAGTTTCTTTATGTAGCTGTAAATCTAGATAGAACTAATTCTTAACTATAAAGTCATCCTGAATGTGCCTAGGTCTCTAAGGGTTACTATTGCTGTGATGAAACGTTACAGCCAGAACACAGGAGGAAAGGATTTATTTGTCTTACACTTCCACATTACTGTACAGCATGGAAAGAAGTCAGGACAGGATCCCAAACTCTACGTGACTCAAGCTTTTGTCAAGTTATCATGAAACTCACCAGGATCCTGCTCATTTACAAAACCTATGACTGTGAATTTTCAAACTTACTCAAGTTTGCCAGAGCGGGGAACATAGACAAACATTTTCAAAACTAACCTAGTTCTCAAAATAAATGAGATTAGCAAGAAGGGAGATTTTGCAGGAAAGAGAGCTGTATACAACTTCACTGAGCATGACTGCAAGTTCCAGCCCTGACTGTTGAGGGCCCCAGGGCAGCCCACATGGAATATGCTTGGGCCATGCTGACCATTCCCCTGAGTTGTGTTGACTTTGCCTGAAGAGACATTGTCGTTTTTGTAGAGTATTTGTAAGCCACATGACAGTCATGTCATCTGCCTGTGGTGCCACCTAAATAGTTACTGCTTTTAACAAGGAAGAGAATTATCTTTCAAACTTATAATCTCCTAAAAGTTAATAGTCTCAATCAGAAGTCTTGTGGACTTTTTAGGACAAGGCTGTTCTTTACAACAATTCTAAAGGCCTGTAGTAAATGAGAAGCTTTCCTTCTCCATAGAACACTCATTGTTGGTTCCTCTGTCATTGTCTTCACTACTTTTGAACAGCAGGAGGAAGTGTTCCTCTTATGGGTGGACCTGAATCAGGAAATCTTGATTTAGGAGCTGTTCAGGATAACAGTCATGATGTTCTTATGTAGAAGCATAGGACTTATTTCTAGGCCAGATGTCATGGTATACGTTGTTAATCCCAGCTGTTGGAGGTAGAAGCAGAAGATCTCTGTAGATGATGGCCAGCCTGGTCTACAGAGTAAGTTCTTGGCCAGCCAAGGCTACATAGTGAGACCTGTCTCAAAAACAATAGAATATATTTCCTATAGAAACTGGTCCAAAAAAAAATCAGTTCAGTTTTGTGGCAGTAAGTTCTTAAACCACTCTGAGCTCCCAGTGGGTACGTGTGCGGCTCTGCACCTGCCCAAGAGCTCTCTAGACCCGTGAAAGAAAAGACATACACATGCAACTTTTATATTTAATAAGCCTTAACTTGCTCAGTAGCTGGGTATTTCCAAACCTCCCCGTGGCTGGCACATGGGGGTATTCCTGAGTTAACACTTTCTAAATCTCTATTTTATCTTTGCTTCCTTGCTTCCTTCTGAGCAGCCCTCCCATGGGGCTGCTTTCTCTGTGCACCTACATTTCAGCCCTCACCCTCCTGCTCCTTCCCAGTGTAGTCTATCCTATGCCCCTTTCAGGGCAGAGAATTCTCACCTACCAGGGTGCAGAGCAATGAGCATACCTGCCGGGAGCTCAGTGTGGTTTAACAATTGTCACGACACAGTGTCGTGAGTTACTAGCTGTGTGTTTGGGGACTAGGATGATTCTTTCAGAATACACATGTATAAAATACTTGTCATCTACAGAAACTTAAAATTGATGTCATCACTTAGGAAAAGTCAGTTTCATTTCTTCCCCTCTTACTGATGTCCAGTGCAGTCAGATTTATCACCTGTGGACTTGTTCCTGCAGTCACTTGCTTGCTTGCTTATGTTCCCCTTCGTGTGGACAGGTGCTCAAGAGCCATGCTTCTTTCAGTCACACATGGAGACACCTTTCGGGATAGCATAGAACTGAATATTTTTAAGTGAGCCACAGTTAACAATATTACCTGTGATTACTATTTTTAATTTGTCAAAGTTTTGAGTTGTGAGATTCTTGCATCTGATGGATTGTTTTACTTATAATTTAAGATAACTTATTTTTTACCTTTGATATATCAAAATATGAATTTATAAATAGCAGTTTTAAATTTTAAAAGTTAGTGTTTGAATGTTTGGTATATTTCACACACTGACTGGTAGTGCTTGAAACTGTACAGGAAACCAGAGCTCCTTGCTCTTCTCACAGTCTAGTGCAAGGAGCTCTGATGCTTTTGTAGATGCACCATACCACCTTTCCCTGAGATGGGGAAGGAAGAAGCCATGTTCTGTGTGGCGGGCAACAGAGAAAGCTCATGCCCAGAGGTGAGTTAGTGACTTGACTAACCAGTTTGGGGTAAGAGAGGGGATAAAGGTGATTGCAGATTTTGGCATTTATATTGTAGATTAGGATAGGTTATGTTACAGTGAAAGATACGAGATCCTGTCTCACTGGAATAAGTAAAGGCTTTGGGTGGCTTAAGAGAGAATCTGTGGTCTGGTGTGTATTTTAGGAGACCTACCTGCAGTTTAAACAGTGGTTGAGGTGGGTAGGAAAGTTTCTTCTATTATTACAAGCTTAGATTATACTGTCACAAACTCCAATGATAATTTTTTTTGTATAAATATGTTTTCTTTCAAAGTTGTATTTTGGTTCAAATGAATTAAAACTTTGACTCATGGTTTTTATTGATGAAAACAGTTTATGTGTAAATAAATAAAATAAGCACTCTTAGGTTTAGAAGGTTTTGAGCTAAGCATTGTGTCCTTTCTTTTCCCTCCCATTACTTACAGGTATTTACCTCCTGAGTGCTTTGTCGTTGGAAAAGAGCCCCCGAAGATCTCCAACAAGGTTGACGTGTGGTCCGTCGGGGTCATCTTCTTCCAGTGCCTCTATGGAAGAAAAGTACGTTGTTGCACCACCTTCAGTTGTGCAGAGATAAGTTAGGGTGATTGTGATTTTTAAAAATGTGCAAATTTTCATTAACTTAGAATCAGTTTAGATCCTTCTAAGGAAAGACACATTTCTTGGTTATTTCCTTAAGTCAGAGTTATTCAACAGTTGATGTGATTGTGTCTCCTTCTCACCTTTTCTTTCCCAAACATTTTCTGTTGGCAACTCTGGAGTTAAGTACTTTGAGATGTCCATCACTCCTTACCTCTCAGCTCCTCCTCTCCCCTGCAGACATCCTGAAACTCCTCAGAGAATATCATCAAACTTATGTTTCCCAAACCTCTGTTAATATTGGAATCAGAAATGCAAGTTGTCATGGATAATGTCTAGTTTTGCCTCCTGCCCAATCTCTGTCACGGAGAAGAGAGGAGGAGAAACCTGTCTAGATGTGCAGCATATAAAGACTGTCTTTGTTTGCTTTCTGTTGCTGAGAATAACATCATGACCAAAAGCAACTTGGGCAGGGAAGAATTTCCAGATTGGTTTGCAAATTACAGTCTATCATCAAAGGAAGCCAAGGCAGGAACTTAAGGCAGGAGCCAAAGCAAGAGACCACAGAGGAGCGCTTCTTACTGAGCTGTTTAGCTTGCTCAGCTTGCTGTTTGATTTGCCCAAGGACCACCTGGCTAGGAGTAGCCCTCTTAGGCCAGTAGTCAATCAATAAAACCCTCCCATAGATCTGCCCACAGGCCAGGCTAATAGAGGCAGGGCCTCAGCTCAAGTTCTCAATTCACTGTACCTGTGTGGAGTTGTCAAAAACTGACTGACTCCAAACCCAGGTCCCCTGGTTCCAAATCTAGATCCGTTCCCTCCTGGTAACTTGAATGACAGCCTTATTGCTTCTCCGTCACACAAGGTTTATCTTCCGAAGACTGACTGAATAGGTTTTTCCAGCCTGTTCTTAGCTATGATCTTTGTTTCTGTGAGACCACATCCAACTTTCAAAAAGCTGAGGACAAGATGTTAAAATACAGATCATTTTTGTGGTGGGCTCAGTGGTGAATCCTTGTTTTAAATATTTTATTTCAATATTTTCTTCTTCTTTTTTAAAGCCATTTGGTCACAATCAATCTCAACAAGACATTCTACAGGAAAACACAATACTAAAAGCCACAGAAGTCCAGTTCCCTGTAAAACCAGTTGTAAGCAGTGAAGCCAAGGTATTAATCTCATCATGTTCTGTGCCGGGTCTGGGCTGTGGTTCCAGTGTACTCAGTGCGTCAGTAACCACACCAGCAGGGATGGCCGCCACGGCAGGGCTGCTGCTATGCTCTGGGAGCGGCCGCCTCCCTCCGCTTTCGTGCTGGTTTGCATCCTAGCACTTGATGTGCCTCCTTAGTCTGAAAAAAAAAAAAAGCAACTTGCTTTTCTTTGAAAGTTAGGAAGAAACCACAACATCTGGACCCTTTATTACTTTTAGATCTTATTCAGTCTGCCTGTTGTGATGCTGAGATACTTAAGTATAGAAAAAGACGAGCTGGAGAGATGGCTCATTGATTAAGGGTATTTATCAGAGAATCAATTCCCAGCATCCACACACTTTACCACATCCTGTAACTCCAGTCCCAGGGGATCCGATGCCCTCGTCTCCACCAGGACACACACACTGCACTGACGTTCATGCAAGCAAAACACTCATATAGATAAAATAAAACAAATTTTTAAAAAATAAAAGTAGAGGAAAGAATAGATGTAGTAATAGCTCTCATTTCTATAGTGCTTTTATGTACACTGTGTGTTATTCTTACCTTTGTAAAATGAGAAAATAGCCTCAACATACAAAAACACCTTGGTTAGAGTGTTGTGCCAGACAAGGCAGTCTCCTGCCGACATTACACCTTGTTCTGTGCTGTGGTGCACTGGGTCAGAGGTTAATTCATTCTGAAAACCTGTTTCTGATCTGTGTGTGTAAATGTGCTTGGTAAAGTAATGAGAACTACGGCTCCCGTAGAGCAAGCCTTTCCTGACCTTGACTGTGCCTGTGCCTTCATGTGTGCACATCCACAGAGATTATTTTTCTATAACTGTTAGGAATCCTATTAAAAATAACATCAAATCTGTAAGACAAAACCACAGAACTGCTATATTTTCTTATATAAGTACTCTAGGCCATAAGAAAAATTGACTTTGAATCCCAGTATCTAAGAGGCAGAGGCAGACAGATCTCTGTGAATTTGAGACCAGCATGATCTACATTGTAAGTTCCAGTCCAGCCTACATACTGTCTCAAATAGTAATAATAACAACAACAACAACTACAAGGTGTTTGCAGTCAGCGCTGCCTTCATAATTAAGAATGCTGGCTTTGTGAACTCTCATTTATTAGAAATTATCCATAAATCTTCATTGAATTGGTTTTATATCATGGTTTTTAGGGTTTTTGTTTTGTTTTGTTTTGCTTTGTTTTTGTTTCTTTTATTTTGGTTTTTCAAGGCAAGGTTTCTCTGTGTAGAACAGACTGGCTTCAAACTCAGAACTGTCTCCCGAGTGCTGGGAGTAAGGGTGTGTGTCACCATGACTGGTTTTGTTTTGTTTTTTGAGGTAGTGTCTCACTCTAGTTCAATCTAGCCTTAAATATTTAACATAGGCCGGGTAGTGGTATCACACGCCTTTAATCACAGTACTTGGAAGGCAAAGGCAGGTGGATTTCTGAGTTTGAGGCCAGCCAAGGCTACACAGAAAAACTGTCTCAAAAAACCACCCCCCCCAAAAAAAAAAAACAAAAAAATAACATAAACTGTCTGCCTCACAGTAGCCCTTCTGCCCCAGGCTCCAGAGGGCTAGTATTTTAGGTGTAAGGCACAGTTATTGGTGGTTATAATAATTCAGCAATAAGTTAACAATATGTATATTGTATATTAATATATTTCTTTAGCATAATGGTTTTTGGTTTAGGGTTGGGGTTGGTTTTGGGGGTTTGTTGTTTGTTGGTTTTTGAAACAAGATCTTACTATGTAGTCCTGGCTGGCCTAGAACTCACTATGTTGTAGACTAGCTTTAAAAGAAAAAGAAAAAAAAAAAGATGCAGAGTTGACTTAGGAAACAGAAACCCCAATGAGACTTCTGTGTCATGTGATCACCATCTAAAGGCAGTGAGGCTGAGTAGGGCCAAGAGAGGAAGGCTAAGAATGGCGTCTTTACCATTTGACAAAACAAAACTATGTGATTAGAGTCAGAAAAAAAAATACAAACAAAAGATATCTTAAGGATTTTGTAGGGGCTGGAAAGATAACTCAGTGGTTAGGTACCCTGGCTGCTCTTCCAGAGGGCCTGGTCCAATTCTTACAACTGTAACTCCAGTTCCAGGAGATCCAACACCCTCACACAGACAGACTTGCAGGCAAAATACCAATGCACATGAAATAAAAATAAATTGAAAATAAAGAAGTTTGTAAGTAGAAATAAAACTTTGCAGCAGTACATCCAAGGAAAGCAGTACTGACTGAGGCTCTAATGTGCTCAGGGTGCTGCTGGAGGGTGGACATTGGAGGGACAATGTCCTTGTTAACCCCAGATGTTCTTAAGGCTTGAACTTGCTGTAAGTTGATCTGTTTATAGTCTTAACTATGTCCTTGCTTCTATAGGAGTTCGCAGGTTGGTGTTTAGAAGGTAGAAGGTCATTGGTGATGTTCTCTCTCTCTTTCGAAGGCCTTCATAAGACGCTGTTTGGCTTACCGAAAAGAAGATCGATTTGATGTGCACCAGCTGGCAAATGACCCATACCTTCTGCCACACATGAGAAGATCAAATTCTTCGGGAAACCTACATATGTCTGGGCTGACAGCAACTCCCACACCTCCTTCTTCAAGCATAATTACTTACTGATTCTCCTCCAAGATGGCATGATCTCTTCTCTTTGATTGGCTTCCAGATGCATACTTGAATTTGAGTGCATTTGAGTGTTTGTGGTTTTTTTACATGGGACATGGTTAAGAAGTGTTTGTGGACTAAAGCTCTCCATGGAGTCCTTTGTGTGAGAGTGGATCATGAACAGTGACTAAGTACACACTCCTCACTGCCCTGGAGCAGCACAAAACAGGAATACCATGTTACCTTAGGACAAGGGGGACTCTGTAAATAACGTTTATAATACTTAAATATATTTGATTGTTACCAGAGAGTTCTAATATGAAGGGTAGTTTTTCATTATTTAAGAACACATGGAAAAATGATGAGACATTTGTAACACGGGAGCTACAGTGCCTGGTACAGCGTCAGCACTCGGCAGCTGATCTACAGAAACCAAAGCAAGAACGGACTGACAGCGGCCGTTGTGTTTTATAACAGAATGTGAGAGTTAGGGTCTTTGGACAGTTGTAGACTTTGTCATTTGCCTATTCTGGCTTTTACCAAGTTGTACCTCGAAATCACATGTCAGTGGTCTGCTGCCCTACCCCCCATCCCTCTTAACTGGTTGTGTTAAAGGCGAGCTGTCATTTTTGGACACTTTATACCTTTAACACAAAGAGCTGCCTATTTCAAATCAGTTGAAGTTACTAAATTATAGTATTTCCAGGGCTTTCAGTGTTTTAGAATTAACAGGCATTTTTCTTTTGTTTCCAGGCCTCGTTCATTAAAACAGGAGACAGTGTGTAACCAAAAGCAGGCCAGTTGTATGCAGGATAATGATGAATTCCCTTCTGGCTCTATTGTAAACTACTGTACAGATGTCGGATTACAATTACTGAGTTTCAGCAGCTTATTCTTGTACAAATGTTTAAAAATACGGCTTTTCTAATTGGATATTGTATTTTTTTTAAGTCTTCTTGAAGGCGCTTTAATTGCTGCTAAATGATATTGCTTTTTTGCTATAAAAAATTGAATGACCTTCAAGGCACAAGTTGACTGTACATCCTAGAGAGATATTAAAGCAGGCACTCATTAACAATCAAGGCATGTAAATGATCCATGTTGGGCATATTGAGTTCTTTAAATCAGTTTTTTAGGTTCTAGAGCTGTGGAACACATAGAAACTAGATTTACAAATTGTTCATGTTTATTCTACATTTCTAGAAAGTTCTTAGCATCAAGGTGGGATGATAGACCCATAGAATGTTTCTTGTGGTTTGTACAGATTTGTTAAAATGTGAACATTTTCTAACTGCCTTGTGTGGTAGAAACCAATATTTTTTGGGGGGATGCTGTATTTCATTCTTGTAAGGATTTTTTTTCTTTATTGTCACATTCATAATGCTGAGACTTACATGTAAGTTGTCCATGGTGCAGAAAACAAGCTATCCCTGCCAGACATCCCTTAACATGTACAGTTAAACTGTGGCTCTTACCTGGTGTTGCAAGCCATTTTGTTTGTTTGTTTGTTTTCATTGTACATAGACACATTGTCTGTTTAAGATGCTGCTGGAATTATAGAGAATGTAGCCAAACAGTAATAAACAATGACAGTAAAAATGTAAAGACTGTGAAAATTACATTTCAAAGAACCCTTAAGATTGAGGGTTCCTAGCTCCTCTACTTAAAGGCAGATGAATAAACTCCTTAAGCATACTCAAGTATGAAGTGTTTCAGGCTGTTAAAGTTAAAAACAATGTTTAGAAAAAAATATAAATAAGAGTATTGGAGATGAATCAACTTACTCGTGTCTTCTAAAGTTTTTCCAAGTGTAGATTTAAATAGCCTACTAGTTAGTACTTGGGCTCAATGAACCAGTATCAGCTTTGTGAGGAACTGGTGTTTGTTGCCAAATAATTTCCATATTACTCTGGCAGTTTCCACCCATTTGTTTTGAGATATTAGTTGTTTTCTTGTCTTCTGGAGTCAGCACTGACTGCAGGTCACGTGCACAGTTCTCATCCTTGAAGGTAGCTGTACAGGGAGGGAGTGTGCAGTTCACTGGGGAGCGCAGTTCTTAGCTCATGTAGGTTCAGTCCCCTCCAAAAACACCAGTAAGTACATGCCCTTTAATGAGCATGAATGTTGAACGTGGTGCAGAAGCTGTCATGATGAGGTAAATGTGGAGGGTGGGAGACACGTGGGTGGTTTTCCTTGTGACCACCCTCTTTTCCTACAAAAGAACCTGAATTTAAATGTGAACAAACACATCAGGTCCTTCTCTAGTTTCACTGTAAATTTTCATGTTTTTAAAATAATTTCCCTCTGAATACACTTTCAGTGTTTTGAATATTTAGCCTAATTTCAAAACTGCTTTGGCAGCTAGTTTCTAAATGGAATTTTTGGATTTTGGCTCATTGTATAGTGGTTTTTTAGTGTGTAGCTTGTCCATTTGTATCTGAATTGACCTTTCCACCCAAAACACATCTCCATTTACCTTACCCCCTTCCCCCCATTAATTAATTTATCTAGAGTCTGGTTATGTAGTCCAAGCTAGCCTCAACGTTGATTGCAATCCTCCTGTCTCAGCCTCCAGAATGCTGGAATTATATATGTGGCTGCTTCACTCTGTAGTGGTTTGAATGGGTTTGGTCCCCATAGACTGATGTGTTGGTTGGCTCATAGGAAGTGGCACTATAAAGAGGTGTGACCTTTTGGAGTAGATGTGGCGTTGTTGGAGGAAGTGTGTCACTGCAGAGGTGGGCTTTGAGGTCATATATATGCTTAAGCTCCACCCAGTGTGGAACAGTCTCCATGTGGGTGCTTTAGGATCAAGATGTAGAATTCTCAGATGTTTCTTCAGCACCGTGTCTGCCTGCATGCTGCCATAATAATAATGCACGAACCTTCTGAAAATGTAAGCCAGCTCCAGCTAAACGTTTTTCTTTGTAAGAGTCACCTTTTTCATGGTGTCTCTTCACAGCAATATAACTCTTAAAATGTGGGTTACAGATCTCCCTGTCCTTGTCGATCATTGGCTGATTCGGCCCACAAGGGCAAAGATAGCAGAGATGTCGAGGGGGTTGGGGTTCAGAAGTCCTGTGAGTACATACAGTGAATGACCACACCAAGACTGCTTGTCAGTAGGCAGATCAACTTTACTTAGGGTGACTGAAGGCTTATAAAGTTTTGGAGGACTGAGGGTAGGGACATCCAAGATGAGCACAGGTCATTGGCCGGTGGCTTTCAGGTACCTGGAATGCCTCATTAGCATGGGGAATCATTTCGGTAATCTCAGATGCTGACTGAATGAATAGATTTTGTCTGGAGAGAGGAAGTTGATCGTATAAACTAATTAAGGCTATATGACGTTCCTCAGGTAGAGGCGGGTGTGGGGGCTTTGAATACCCCAGACAAGGCCAGAGAAAGAAGCTCTGCCAAGGAAAGGAGTCTCACGTAGTGTGCCCAGCTCAGAGGCTGTCCAGTCGTGGTGGACTTCGGCCTTATTTAGCAGAGCTTTCCCGTGCTAAGACACCTTGTACTTTTTTTTTTTCAATAGGTAAGATTTGAATGTATAAACCGAATTCAAAATTTGTTTTCATAAAACTGAACCAAAATGGTAGAAAGTTTCAAGTGAGTAACAGGGTGTGTGGCTCTAGCCTGAGTCCTTTCTTGTCCACAAAAAGCAGTCGCCTTTGGTTCTTGTGATAATTTAAATTCCTTCAAGAAAAAAGTAGTTTCTTAGTGTTTGAATCAAGTTTCAAGGAAGAGATGATTGGATTCCCAGGAAAGGGAAAGTGAGCAAAGAAAACAGGAGTTTGGAGGGAAATACCCAGAACTAGGCTAGACGGATCCTGCTTTGGCCAATTAGGCTGTTTCCTCAGAAGTCCTTCTGTGCTTTTCTGTTATCTGTGTTAACAGCTGTCTGAAGTAAGATGGATGGACGGTCTGCTCTTCAACAGAGGAAGCTGATGTAACAGAGCCAGCCCCATGTTCAGTGATGCATCAGAAGGGAAGGAGAGAAGCCAGGCATAGTGACACATACCTGCAACCTTGTGTCAGGGATGTGTCGAAGTGGGAGCATGAGTTGAAGCCCAGGGTCAGCCTGGCCAGGCCTATAAAAGGTAGGTATATAGGTAGACAGACAGACCAACAAATCGATCTATCTTTGGAAGCCTGAAATGTCACTTTTCAGTGGTGCCAAAAATAGTGAGTGTGACTTCTTTTTATCATAAAAGAGCAAACCTAAAGAAAAGTATTGGACTGCTGTCAGCTCACACTGTTGGTGGCGGTGAGTCACTGGTGAGCACCCTCCTGTCTAAGCTCATTTCTGGTAAGATGAGAGGGACAAACCAGTGCTGTCCCTGCTGTGTTCCTTTGCCTTCTGCAGTCAGATGAGGCCACCCACAAGTAGGACCTTTGTGACCTCCCCAGAGAAGCTTCCAGGCTGTTTACGCCTCCCTTTGGAGGAGCACAAAGTAGCTCTGGGCTTCTCCCTGCCCACTGTCCTCTTCCTGATGAGAGCTTTGGATCTGATTCAGTCAGTAGCTCACTCAAAAGAAAGTTCTGGAAGTTTGGGAAAGCTTCAATGCGTCCCTCCAAGTTTTGGAACCGATAAGCATTCACCACACCCCACACCCTCCCCCACTGCACTTGCCACCATGCGGCGGACATTCAGTGCAGCGTACCACACAAAATCCTGACCACTGAGTGATTATTTCAAATTTTCATGTAAGCTTCAAGGCTTTTAGGCTATTGGGAAAGCCTTGGGCCAAACACAATGACCCCACTATCTCATCTGAGTTACTTGCCTGCTGTATATGTGTTAATTCATCCACTTACCAAGGTCTTCTGTAAAACAGGGTCGTCATCAAACGTAGACACTAACATTGCTTAAAAGAAAAAATGAATGAGGTGTTTGGCATGTTTTTAAAGTGTTTGAATTCTTAATTATTTTGTCTACTAATGACCAAATTCATAACTTCTTCTTAAATATTCAGAAAGAGGATAATGTGCTGGAGAGCACCCTGGTAGGGTGGGGTGGAGGTGTCTGCTGTCTCTGGTTTGGAAGTCGGCTCCCGATTTGTCTTCAATGCTAGTTTCTTAGTGTGAGCATAGTCACTAACTTCTTTTGGAGGCTTCGACATCTGTAAACCGTTTACTAACTGCCCCTGCCTGGCAGGAACCTAGCACAGGAACCCACACCTGAGTGTAGAAGAGAGGGTTGGGGACTCCCCCCCACACACACACACACCCTTGGAAGCCATTGAGAGGCCATAAGAAATGGACGACTGGGCAGCAGCCAGCTCCTGGTTTTGATGTCCTTTTGAACCTATATCTGGGCATGGCTTTAGTGTGGGGCCTGCCTCTGGCTCACATGAGTCCCTCACCTGTGCTAGCACACTCAACTTTGGGGGGGGGCAGCTAGCACATACCTGGGGGTGCAGCTGTGTAGTTTGGACTCTCTTTCCCAGGTTAATGCTGCCCCCCACTTTGTGCTCTGTGGATCTGAAGCCACTGTGGACGCTAACACTGACGGCCTCTGGACTAATGTATTCCAGGACTTGTTAACATTTTGGTTTTCTCCTGACAATCTTAACTCTCCAGTAAGAATGGGTTTTTTCTTCAATTTGTAAAGCTTTGTCAGAAGCAGACACATAGTTTCAACTCTTAAATCTTTAAAAGAAACCTCTTTAAAGAGACTTGCCGTCAGCATTATCAGATCATGCACATCAAGATTCAGAATTCTCCAGTAGCGTCCATGTTAGTTCAGGAATCTAAACAGCACGGGCAGGATGATCTTGTTATGTACTGAATCAATGGCATGGTCACCTTCAAGTATACTTGTCTTTGCCTCCGGCTAGCAATGGACATGTTTTTTTGTTTCTTAGAGGGGTTTTGTCTTTTGGGAAAAAGAACTATGTTAAAAGTTTAATTTGTTTTTTATTTTGTTGGCTTTCTTTTCTTTTTAATTCTAAAAGAAGGTCTTGACCTTTAGTATTAAACGGGCTGATTTGTAAGGATGGTTTAGAGAAAATAATTGACTTTCTAGTGGCGCTAATGTTAAATGACCACAAAATGGCTTGTCAGTTTCTTGTTCCATGGAGTTAATTGTCTACATTTAACTCCCACATTTCTAGAAGCCATACTTGGAGATGAAATCTGGAAAATATAAAGTTCTTGGTTCTACATTGCTTAGAGTGGAAAGCATGCCCGCATTTGTTTAGTGGCCTGGCACAGAAGCTGTAAGCGGTGTCTTGTTTTGAACTTGTAACATGAAACCTTGCAGGGCTTTCTTGCCTGTTTGTCAGGCCCAGCCTTGTTGACACTACAAATTTTCCTTCTGGTTTGGAGAGTTTGGGCAAAACCAAGATGGAAACACTGTTGTGCTCCTTTGCCATTACCACATGCTGTTACCACAGGACTAAGAGTTAAAGCCAAGCAGGGTTTAGTCTCTGTAAGAAAGGCTGTTCTTTGTGTGCATTTATTTCTTCCTGGTAACACACAGGGTACACTTCAATTAAAAAAAACAAACAGGAGCCATCAGCTTGTCACTTTCTCCTGTAGCACCAAGTGTTGGATCCCTCCCTTTCCCCACCCCCCACCCCCACCCCCCACCAAGTTTTAAGTGTTTATGATGTGGTTATTCTTTTCATTTTCATTGAATCAAAATGGCGTAATTGGATAGTGTAAGCTACAGTTACAAGAACCCCACTGTGCCA